GCTCCTCGATCATCATCCTTAAAAACAAATTCGCTTCCCACAAAAACGAGTTTGCGGAAATTAAAGCGTTTTGTCTTACGCAATATCCGTCTAAATAGATCACATCCACGAAGACGTACAACATGGCCGACCTGTAGACATGCACAATTCCCAAGTATATGAGACCAGTATTGAGAGTTCCTAATAGATTTATCAGCAGAATGACTTGTACTGGCTCTAAAAGAGAGTTGGACAGAAGAGTAGATAGTGTTCAACATCGCATTGCATTTGCTGCCATCACATACCAAAATCATGAGGTGCAAATAGACAGCATGCGCGTCGAGGTCCCATCCCATCCCCTGGCCAATTCATCGTACACCTTTGTTGAGGCAGTATCAGTGGATAACGAGTGCTATCAATGAGATTGAAGATATCGGTATTTCTCTCTGGTTTGACTGTAACATCAGCCACGTCTGTAAAGTTTGGCTTCAGGGAGAAAAGAAGAAGGGCAAAGATGCCTTGTGAAGTGTCGTTATCTTGAATTTGGTATTGGAAAGTAATGGAAGGCAGTGTGGGCACACGGATGTGTGAGAAGGTACGCAATGGTTGAAAGAGATTACTGGAAGGGTCGACATGGCCACCTCCCTTTTGAAGGTGGATTTGAACCAGTTGCATTGCCAATGCTGCCCCACTGGCCACTGATAGGCTTATTTGCTGCGGAAAAGGAAAGTTATCATTCAGTGCACAAAAAATATTGTATGTATGGACAAGGTTTAGGAATATATATGCGTGAGACCAATGCAAAATTTTGTGGATTTAGAGCAGTCGTTACGCATAACCAACCACTCTGCAGGCAAATGTGACTGCTATCTAGCATATACAGCTTAGCCTCAGTAATAAAAGAGCTAAAAAATACTTCTAGACTAGGGATCCAGTGCCACAAATCTGACAAGCCTAATTTCACCGTCTATCGCATGATGGCTTGGGGGGAAAACAACCCACCACAAAGTTCCATGTGCCTTGACCGAGATGGTGGATACGCCGTCCCCCTTACAGGAAGAGCGAGAGCTGTGTGCAGTTGAGTCATCAGGCG